ACAGGTCAAGAGTGATGAAAATTGAAAAGGACCATTAGATTTAGTAACACATTCCTATGGGGTGTGGTTTTTTTAAATCATAAATACAACTTTTTCTCCAACTAAAACTCACTTTTAAAATGCGTACTTCCCTAAAAGAATGTCACATCCAAATTATACCGCAAAGCTACATCTACTAAATAATTACCTTGGACACTTCATGCCATTTAAATGTTGTGAATTAAATGACGAAATATAACATTGAGTCTAAAACTTTAAAAAAAAAAAGCCTTTTTTTTGGGGGGGGGGTATCCTAACCAAATTAGAGGTTCATTTTTCCTAGAATACTTCACATGTCAAATAGAGTATAGGCTGTCTAATATGATTAAGGGTTGAAATCTGCAGGTGTAACTGCCTGAATTAAATCCATGTTCACCATTAACTAAATTCTAGATTAAATTCTGTGCTTCAGTATTTTCATCTCCAAAATAATAGTATTTATGAAATCACATGGTAAAGTTTCCAGACTATTACTTCCAAAAGAAATTCAAATTCTACTTCATTTTTTCTTTCAAGTGGAAAAGCAATTATATCATGTCTGACCCAACAGGGGTGTTGCAGAATTAACTAGTAACTTCCTAGACCCTGACCAATCTGCTATCTATAAACTGTATTTGCTCACTATTACATCCAAAGAAAACTCATTTGAAAACCAGGGCAAGTATCCTCAGGCCTAGGATACCTGCTTTCTTCAGATTAAGATAGAGGCCTACTCTAATAAATCTTCATTACTAACTTTCTCTGCATGGCCACAAGGAAATTCTGAAGGAAATGGGACTCTCCATATTCCTTTAACAGATTCCTATTGTGCCCAAGATAACCTAAATCTTAATAATGGCCCTACAAGAACCTGTGTACTATGTATGCTTGGTACTTGTCTACCTTTCCAACTTTGTCTCTTACTCTACGCATTTTTGGTGACTATTCTCCAGTACTTCTTACTCGGATGCCAAGTCTGCCATTTCCCACCCCAACCCTGACTCCCACCCTTTACTTGTGCCTTCAAGTATGATAATCCACTATCAAATCTCAATTTTAACATCTGTTCCTTTACAGTCTCTTCATTGGCAGCCATCTCCCACCTCCACATTCTAGAGGTGACTCCTTACTATCATTTCACCTTGTGTTTTCCTCCATGGATCTAAAATGAGAAAGTGTATTTGTTCACTGTATTTCTCCCCTCAAGTCTGTAAATCCCAAGAAGGTAGGGGACAGTGTTTTGTTCATTCCTATATGCCCAAGCGTAATGGTGATTTTTCAGAATAAGCACTCATGTTTAATAAACATCTCTAATAGAATATTGCATGACCATCCCAAAGACAAGTATTTGAATTGCTTTTTCCTACTCTCAGCCCTAACCTACTCCCTTTGTTTAACCTGCATCTATCCCCATCCCAGAAGCTATAAACTAGGGAGTCAGGAATATTCCCACCCTCTTCCTTTCACAGCCACTGCCCAAATCCTCCTAAATTTACACCCCCTTCCCTCTAATACGAATACCACTGTTTCTGACCAGGCCAGGTCATGATTCTTCTACGTTAGTTTAGTATCTTCCTTATTTATCAACCGCAAAGCTACATCTACTAAATAATTACCTTGGACACTTCATGCCATTTAAATGTTGTGAATTAAATGACGAAATATAACATTGAGTCTAAAACTTTAAAAAAAAAAAGCCTTTTTTTTGGGGGGGGGGTATCCTAACCAAATTAGAGGTTCATTTTTCCTAGAATACTTCACATGTCAAATAGAGTATAGGCTGTCTAATATGATTAAGGGTTGAAATCTGCAGGTGTAACTGCCTGAATTAAATCCATGTTCACCATTAACTAAATTCTAGATTAAATTCTGTGCTTCAGTATTTTCATCTCCAAAATAATAGTATTTATGAAATCACATGGTAAAGTTTCCAGACTATTACTTCCAAAAGAAATTCAAATTCTACTTCATTTTTTCTTTCAAGTGGAAAAGCAATTATATCATGTCTGACCCAACAGGGGTGTTGCAGAATTAACTAGTAACTTCCTAGACCCTGACCAATCTGCTATCTATAAACTGTATTTGCTCACTATTACATCCAAAGAAAACTCATTTGAAAACCAGGGCAAGTATCCTCAGGCCTAGGATACCTGCTTTCTTCAGATTAAGATAGAGGCCTACTCTAATAAATCTTCATTACTAACTTTCTCTGCATGGCCACAAGGAAATTCTGAAGGAAATGGGACTCTCCATATTCCTTTAACAGATTCCTATTGTGCCCAAGATAACCTAAATCTTAATAATGGCCCTACAAGAACCTGTGTACTATGTATGCTTGGTACTTGTCTACCTTTCCAACTTTGTCTCTTACTCTACGCATTTTTGGTGACTATTCTCCAGTACTTCTTACTCGGATGCCAAGTCTGCCATTTCCCACCCCAACCCTGACTCCCACCCTTTACTTGTGCCTTCAAGTATGATAATCCACTATCAAATCTCAATTTTAACATCTGTTCCTTTACAGTCTCTTCATTGGCAGCCATCTCCCACCTCCACATTCTAGAGGTGACTCCTTACTATCATTTCACCTTGTGTTTTCCTCCATGGATCTAAAATGAGAAAGTGTATTTGTTCACTGTATTTCTCCCCTCAAGTCTGTAAATCCCAAGAAGGTAGGGGACAGTGTTTTGTTCATTCCTATATGCCCAAGCGTAATGGTGATTTTTCAGAATAAGCACTCATGTTTAATAAACATCTCTAATAGAATATTGCATGACCATCCCAAAGACAAGTATTTGAATTGCTTTTTCCTACTCTCAGCCCTAACCTACTCCCTTTGTTTAACCTGCATCTATCCCCATCCCAGAAGCTATAAACTAGGGAGTCAGGAATATTCCCACCCTCTTCCTTTCACAGCCACTGCCCAAATCCTCCTAAATTTACACCCCCTTCCCTCTAATACGAATACCACTGTTTCTGACCAGGCCAGGTCATGATTCTTCTACGTTAGTTTAGTATCTTCCTTATTTATCACCTACTTCCAATATTCTCCTCTAAGCCATTTCACAATGCTATCAAAATTACATTTCTAAAAATGAAAATATGGTGTCCCTCAGCAGTTTAGAATCTTTCAACAGTTCATCATTGGCTTTTAGATAAAATACAAACTCCTTGGCATGGCATTAAAATTTCTTTAATCTGGTCATAATTCTCTAGGATTGAGTTCAACTCCCATCTACTGAATTACAGAATAAATTAAACTTACAGTGAACAGCAGCCACACAATGACAATGACAGCAACAAGGAGATATAAACAATAGAGGGCCTCAATAACACTTCAATCTACAAAGGAAATTCTTTATCCTTCTTCCAGATAACCTCCCGACATTTTAATTAATTCTCTTATTCTGTTTTCCTTTGAGGGCACCTTCAGTGGCCACTTTGATTTTACTTTCAGTATAAGGTAAACGGTCAAGTATGCGATTTACCCTAGTACCACAGCACTGAAAATGCCTTTAAAAAATCATTCTACTACTTCCTCCCCCAGCTCAAAATCTACTGAAGCAACCTTAGAGTGAGTCATCAAGATTTCCCACTCTTGTCAGTAAAATACTACAGGTTACTAAAATTCTTTGGCCATTCACTCCTTCCTGTCACCTTTGAGAATACACTGGATTCCCTTATATCCAGCTGGGCCATAGGTCATCATTGAAAAAGAGGTCAGCCCTAGATCTTTCCTGATTTGGACAGAGATTCAGTAGATTTCCCTGCTTTCTAAGGTTAAAAAAGCCTACATACCTCTTTAAAAACACCTTCCAGCAAAACAGTATTTTACTATTATACCATGTTTCTCGTGGTTTGATTCATGTTTAATTTAACTGATAAAGTTTAAATGGAATACAATCTAAAATTGTCACAAACCCAAGGAAGATTATTCTAAGTGACAAAATTTTTATTAGTTTGGAATAATCTAAGGACCGCCTAATACGTGTGTCTTGTTGCTCATCATTACAAGCCATTTTCATTCCAAAGCACCAGTAAGCTTCAGTTGCTCTTTCCAGTTATCAGAAATTCTCAGTCTGCCCAAGACACTCATAATTTCATTAATTTACAAAAAACTGAGGTGACCTCCATTCGGGAAACATCTCAAGATACACACATAAAGGCCTCAGCCTAAACATTTCCAGGAGCTATCACCTACACCACCATCAACTAAACTTAAAACCGGTATATTTCCTAGTTTTTGCAATGAAACCAAGTGGACCTCACACCTCTTACCATCACCCAGGAAGGGTGTGCATCTGTTCCGAAGGCCCCCCTGGCTCCAGGTCATCCTGGCTGCTGCTGCTCCAGGCTGGGCATCCATGTTGCTGCAGCTTGTGGTTTGTGAGGGATAGTGTACAGGAAAAGCAGGATGGGGTTTCAAGGGAAACAGGAGGAAGATGGCTTTCTGGGAAAATGCCATCACCATCATAGGTGTTAAACAGTACCACACACATTTTATTGCAGCACAGCTTAAAAATTTAACAAATTAAAGATTAAAAATAAAAAAAACAAAAATAAAAAAATTAAAAATACAGACGTCCAGAGATGCTCTAAAACAGTTAAGTTAAAGATCAGGAAAAATAAGGTCACAGACTTAACAGCCAGTAAAATTCTTTCGAGCCTGGGAAAGGGGATGAGGGCAAGGGTGGGGTTGGGAGAGAAAAGGTTTATGTGATCAATCCACTTAAAAATGCTAATGCATTCACTTTCTCTCCCAAGATGCAAAACTCCAAAGTCAATCAGGAGGCCGGAGAAATTCTTATGAACATTCAGAAAAACTTGATTTTAATCCGGTTAAAAATCATCAGTGTTATTATTATCATCATCACCATCATAAATATAATAATAATAAATAATAATAGTAACTAGTAACAACAATAAAAAGGAAATCAGCGGAAAGTCAGGAAAAATGTAAAAAAAAAACTGGAATAACTTACTGTAGCTGAAGATCAAAAAAATCTCACTGTAAAAAAACAAAAATAAAAATAGCCCAGATTAGAAAAACGGGAGGTGCAAAAATGTCAAGTCAGTAAAGTTCATTTCTTTTTCTTTTCCACAAGCAGTTTCTACAAAAACCGCAAGGGTAAAGTTCTTAGTAGCAGACAAGCAAAGCCCTTTTCCACATTATCAATCAATCTTAAAAATACACGAGGAAGTAGAGAGGTCAGTTTATGAAAGGCTAAAAGGCTCCTCCTCCTCTAAACCCAACTGCTGCAGAAAAAATAGAAATAGAATTTTAAAAATTACATCTTAAATCCAAGTCCCGTTTTTGGAAACATTAAAAAAAAAACACCTGTACATTTGCTGTAGTGCACACCAAGTTGCATCATTATGTTTAAAATGTCTTTATAAAATCAGTTTTAGAATGGGAATGTGTGTGTTCTGGAAGGGTGGGGAAGGGAGGTTAAAAATCAAAGCTGAGCTCCATTGAGTAGGGATGGGGTTCGCCTTGCTGCCCTGTGAAAGGAGAAGGGACAGTTTGAGTCAGAGTTCCTCAAAAATGTTGTGCCATAAACCCCCAAGACAGAAACATCTGTCCATTGCATCTAACACATTTTGGTAAAGCATAACATTCTACTGGGATGGGAAGAGCCTCTATAGAACCATCACCTCTACTCTCTATTGTGACTGTCTTCACAAATGTTCAGTATCAGTAAGCAAATGACTAAAATTAACCAAATACATGCCTGTATGCCTTCAAGGTCTAGGGGTAAAAAATGTCTACATTCAACTATGATAATCAGCAGTTTGGGGCAAAGAAAATATAGAAAAACCAAGCCAACAAAGATGAAGAAGTGAGCAAATGTCCAATCATGAAGGTCATGAAGGTAAGCAGATTCATGGGCTTTAAATTTAAGGTCAATGTAGTTTTTCTCTGACACAGACTGAAAGGGAATGGTCTACCATGAAGACATATACTAGAAACGACACCTATTCTCAAAACCAGTGAGAACAGTTGGTTCAAATCACAAAACCTGACAGGTTCTACAAAAGGGGAAAAGATGCTTTCAGGAGCACATTATTCTACCCACTGACAGAATGAAAAAACCATATATGAAAGAGAAGTAGATTATGAATTCTGAATATTTAACATAATAAAACAGGTGAAAAATAATTTATGGTCTTTAAGGAATTTCGTTTCTTTTGTACCACTGTTAATAAACTAATATGTATAGCTAATTTCAAGATATGAATTCTAGGACCCTGATTCCTACCACCACCCTAAATAATTACATGACTGGCTGTTTCATCAGCTGTAGTTCGTTGTAACAAAATTTGCAATGAGACTGCAGATGTTTGAATACGTAAAAATGAACTGGTTGCACTCACATTTGAATATTCAGCCATGAGGTTTCATTCTTTTACAAATGTCAGTAAGCTAAAAAAAGTGTTCCTTGAGTCAATTATGTGTGAATGACTTCTGCAACAGAACAGGTACTAAAACTCTAAAATTTTAACTTGAAATTTTTATTAAGTAGCAGACCAGTTTAGGCATGACATCTAAGTTAATTACTTTTACATTTGGAATGATGCATTAATTGTACAAACATACTAACTATATAAAACGTACATTCATTTGAATGTTAACTCCAGTCAGTAATATACGGTTATGGTAAAACATTCTATTTTCTTATTTGGTGTCAGCTTGAACCCGGTATTCAAAATTTTCAGGATTACTTTAACAGTAACTTTGTGGCTCATCTACAAATCCTTTGCACGTGTCACAAGACAAAAGTTTAAAAAGCAGCAGTTATAATGGAAAGAAAATGTACCTTTCAATGTTCAGAAGATGTTTCCCAAGATGTTATGCTAAAATGATGCACTATCATTCATAAAAAAACACCAAACAACTTTAGTACCGAATTGCAATGCTTTGCAATTAACACTGTACCTAGGTTATACTTTGTCAAACCTCTTGGAGGTTTGGATCCCTTCTTTCAAAGGCGTCTGCGTCTTCTCAAAGTGAGGTAGGCCAACCAGCATCACTCAGCACTTTATCGGAAATGCAAATTCTTGGGGCCCACCCAACCAAATTAAAAACTCTGGTGGTGGAGAGCCTAGCTATCTGGTTTATCTACCCCTCTGGCTAATTCTGTTACCAGCACCCTGAAGAGTTTAATAGGGAACATTTAGCCCTCCCATAGTAAATGCACCAAGGATTACCTGTATTAATCCTTTTTCACTTTATAAACCCTAAATTTCTAGTATCTAAGAGAACACATGAAATTATGCTCCATCTAATAGTTCTGGTTCTCACAGTCAATTCTGTAGTAAATTTATTGTGCACAAAACCATTATCTGCCTTGATCCCAGTAAAAATGAATATACATAGTAAATGAGCAAATGATGATTCCCCCAAAACAATTACTAATAAAAGTATTTGAAGACTGAAATATTGCTATTAAAGGAGCTAAAAAATAAAATACAAAAACTGCTTTTAAAATAAAAAATATTTCTGTACACTTTTCAACCTTCTGACAACAGATGACTAAGTTATAGAAATTCTGAATTAAAACACTTTAAGAAGTGACCCGGCCTTGTGAGTACAAAACGAAATCCAGAAAGTTTAACTGATTTGCCTGATGTGGCAACTAATTAGCAGGAGGGGGGATACAATCCAGTTCTCTTAACTCCTAGATCAAGATTCAAGTGTCACACTCCCCAGTTAACATCTCACACACTGACCAGTTGACCAGTTAATATAAATCAATCTTTAAGATGAGTATAACTAGCTATTTTGGAACTAATTCCTTGTTTCTGTAACAATTTCATCTAAAACAAGGTCACATGCTGTATGAAACCCTCTTGAGACCTAATCACAGTGTAAGTTTAATTCTCTACAGAAGGAAGAGTGTAACCACCACCAAGCATTCCCATGGCTCTGATCATTGGGAAATACAAGGTCAGGAGGCCTACAATTTAGTTATCCTTAAATCCTTCCCCTCTAGCCAAAGTTTTTAATGCCACCTATTTGAAAAAAACATCTAGAATTGTTTCAGATATTAATGTCCCAAATGGAGAGCAACTCAATGGAACTGTTTCCTTGGTACGTGCTGACGACCCCAAGGTACCCATATTTTTAACACCTCAAGGCAAGCAGAGTCCCTTCTATAAATTTCAGTTCTCATCAATTATTGTTCTTAAATATTAATTCCTTACCTTTCTCTTTCTACTTGCCAATAATATTAGGTGTATGACTTCCTAAATTAGCCAATCATTGCCCTTATCTCATTTCTCTGCAGAGTGCTAAGCTTTAGTTTATTTTTAAAGCCCCTGTGATAATACATATGTTCAGGCTTTAAAAAAGAAATGCCTAAGAGCAACGGTTATTATCCCTTTTACAACGTTTATACAGTGAGGAAATCAAATGCACAGCTTAGAATATTTCACTTTCTATCAAATAGGTTACCTAAGGCATGAGTTTTTCTTGCAGTATGGGTTTAAACTGCACTTAGTAACAGTTGTGAGAGTTCTTTTGGTAATGTTATGAAAAATAAAATCAACTGAACCTTACATCAAGACAAAAAAGGCTATTTCTTGGATAAATAAATGTGATACTTAAAAATTTATATACTTTTTATAAACAGGCTCTATTATACTTGCTTAATCAAAAGTATGCACTTTTGCCAAGGTTTAGAGGGTCTGGAAAATTAACGCGAGAATTATACTGAAAGTCAAATGTTATCTTAGGACATTACATTAGTAACACATACAATGCTCATTAAGTATTTTTCCTAAGTGCAGCTTGGGGATTTTCAGTTAACTGCCAGTGGTTGCTGTCATTAATTAGGATCTTGTAAAATTCAAGTACAGTACTTTTAACTTAGTATTCCAATAGCTAGGTAAAACCACTTGACCAACTTGGTCGTCAAAACCCTTCCTAGTTCGCTACCGATTTAGTTACGACTAGCAACCGAAACTCTTATGCCTCAATTTCTGTCTGAGAAAGATAGTAATACCTACCTCAAGCAAAGTTCCACTAACTTATAAATTTCAAGTGATTTTGTAACCTGCAGATAAAAAGTAAGCCAGCTTTAATTACTGTTATTATGCAAAAAGATCACATTTTTTAAAAATAGAACTGAAAACAACTACTGCGAAGTCTATTACTGCTGACAGAATAGAAAATAATCGGTAAAATCGAGTCTATTGTTATAATGTTTATTTTTATGTCCTACAGTACGCTCCAGAATTTAGAGGCTTGCGGTACATCTTAGTAACCCTTCCCCATCCCCTGGCCAATTTTTAAATTTAACAGGAGGCATCGGCACTATATTAACTTCAACTACACTAATGAGCATCTCCATCTTCCCTTTCATCTCTCTCCTATAGTCCTCACGGTCGTAAAAAATGCAAGAAAAGCTGCCGTTAATAAAGGAGAACGAAAAAGAAAAAGGACGTTTTCCCTGCCAATCGTGGCCTAGAGGACACCACGTTAAATCTACACAGGCTAAGGCCTGTAAAACTCTCTTCCGAGTAAAACCTAATCCCCCAATGCAAAGAGAATAAGTGGGGGCCTGGTTACTAGACTGAGGGGAGGGTTCCCTCGTCTTCTCTCCCACACTCCCTCGCGCACCCCAGGAACCCAGCAACTTCCCGGCTTCCGCCCTCTCCTCTTACCAGAAGGGAGCAGGGAGAAGAGATTCAATTCTGAATCCCCTACTCCCGTACTCTACGTGGAGAAGCCGACTGCTGCTCGAGGTCAGTAAGGCGCGCAGCTGCACCCGCTCAACCTTCGTCTCTTCACAAAATGGCCCCCAATTCTCCTCTGCCGCCGAGACGAAGGCCTAGCCCCCGCCCCATTCCCTGGAATCTTCCTATTGGCTGCGACTTTTCTCGCTCCCGCTTTTAATTAGACAGTCCTACCGCTCTTCATAATTCTGTCCAATCACAATCATTAGTGGGTGAGACTTTGCAAGAGAATTTCCACATGCGTGAGAGAAACTGGTTTGTAACTGGTTATTTTTCTTGTCATTTATCGCCTGAAAAATGCTTATTGGTCACTGTGCCCGATGAAGCACTGGGTAGAAGCTCGCCTTTGTATAGCGCACGGCTTCACATCCGGGGATCCGGAGGTCTGATTGGCGGTCGCTGTATCTTATCTCTGTTGCTGAGAGCGCCTAGGTGAAGGGTCGCTCAGACTTCGGAATTCCCGCGGCACGAGGGCGGGGAAGGAGAAACGGGTTTTGTTAAGTAGCTGGGAGGTGGGCTCTGCTTCTATCATCGGGCCTAGGAAAAAGGAAAAGCGCCAGGGGAACACTCCTTCGTGCGGTGTGGATGAAGAAAGGACTTTTCTTAGATTAGGAAGGGAGTAGAGAAGACTAGGACATTGGTAGAAACCAGCCTGTAGTTTTTCCAACCCTAGATCCTTTCTCGGTTCTAGACTGGAATGTCAGCTCCAATCTGGACAGTTTCTCAACATGTCAAGCCATTTTTCAGATAACCCACATCGCACCCAAACCAACTAACTTCCTTATTCCTCTCCACTATAAGAAAGTAAAAGTCCAAAATGCTGACGTTGAATTCTACAGCTCCCATCCTCTGGCCCCCAAGTCATCTCACTAATAACCTACGCATCAACCAAATTGTCTTACCCATCTGCCCCCCGCCCCCTTGTGGTCTCTTAGTTGTGCTTATCCTGAAATGGCGTCTCCCACCCACTCACCGGGGCCATCACCTGCCAGTACCTCTGGTTGTATTAAGTAGCCATGCACACAATGGAACAGGACCAACTCTGCTGAGAGTGGGTTTCTCTGTGCCTTTAGGAAATCAAGGTGCAGAACGCTGGATAATGTGATTCTATCTATATACACTTTAATGGATATATGTGTATGTGAATGCAGTTTTATGCATTTAGTTTGGAATTAATTGTGAATTCCGGAGAGACACACAGGGAAGCTAGCTGTTACTTGTCAGATGGCAAAGCTAAAACAATTTAGTAAGAGTTTAATGTCCTTTAGTTAAGGCAAAACAATCCATGGACTGGGTGAATACCGCAAGTGGACACTCTTCCCAAGGTAGTTTGGGCAAGAGCGAGTTTTATATAGCATTACAAGCGTCAGCCCTGAAAAAGTGTGATTGCCTGGAGTTAAGTATCTGACCTTCTTTAGAAAGATCAAGGACCAAGGAAGTTAAGAGGCCAGAGTTCGCTTGGAGTCTGGGGCTTGGCTGACAGGATATACTACCATTCTGGTCAAGCAGATCCCAGAAATTGGAAAGATCAGTTTGCTGATATGGCACCAGGTATGAGCAACTCCGTCTGGCACGTAGAAATTTGTTTCGACCTACCTCTGAGGAGCGGATCATTCACCTTTATCAGTGGTATGCCTTTCTATACTATTTGTATTTGTTGCCACATGCAGATTTTGCTTTAAGCTATTTTCTAAAGCATGTAAGAGAAAATATACTAAAATGTTAATAGTTCTTTCCTAGTTGAGAAGTTACGTGTGCTTTTTCTTTTACTTTCTTCTGCTTTCCTCTATGTTCCAAACTGTCCATTTTAAACATGTACTCAGGGAAAACATCCTCCTCCACCTGCTTAAAGTCTCAGCTCAAATGCAACATTACAATTTATTTAAAATTACCTTATAGCTCTGTGGTTAATATTATACATGTCTCTTCTCCATTCTTGGATGTAAGTTTTTTGATGGCAGTTTAATTTTTATTCCTGTCCGTATTCCCCTTGATTACCACATGTTTCTAGGGCCTTAGACAGAGTGTTTGAAATTTGTGTTAAATTCATTAATCATTAACTTTCATTTATTAAGAGAAATTGCTGTTTTTCTAGGACAAACAGGCAGACTGTCCATTCTTTATTATATTTTTTATACAGCACTTACTCAGAAGGACCCAAACGCAGTAAGGCTTGACTGACATGTAATTCCTGACTGAGGTAAACAAAAATAAACACTAAAAAAGGAGACAACAGGTCCAAAATGAAATCACCTGTGCTAAATAAGCCCATTATCACCAAACTAAAACTTAATACCTAATCTAATTGCAGTTTTGGTCTCCTCTAGGAGTGTACTCTATTTAACGAGTCAGTCTGAAATTTCCTAATTAGCCCTAATTAGCTAATTCATGATTTTCTTAGCTCACCACCTCTCTGCCTTTGAAAACCTTTTCTTTGCTGTAGCTCTTTGGAGCTCCCTTGTATTTGCTATGTGGCATGCTGCTTGATTCATGGATTAGGCAACAAAGACAATTAGATCTTCAAATTACTCAGCTGAATTTTGTTTCCTAACAACACTTAAATGTTTTATTACTCATTGTTCTCATAGAATGAAAATGTCCATAAAATGTTAATGAAAACTACTTATTTTCATTTTACAAGACATCAGTTTTACTGCATGATCTTTGTCACAATTTATTAAATAAAACCAGCACTGTATTTGGTGCAAGGGAAGTACTTGAGAGACAGCATCATGTTTTCAGGAGATTCACCCCTATGCTAGGTGGGGTGGAAGTGGAGGAGATGGGAAGAATTAACAACCAGTCCCTCCACTGAGTAACTTAGAATTTACTAAGGATGAAAAAGCAAGTGCAAAAATATCATTTGAGGGGGGCGGAGCCAAGATGGCGGCATGAGTAGAGCAGTGGAAATCTTCTCCCAAAAACACATAGAGCTATGAAAATATAACAAAGAAAAATCTTCCTAAAATAGAGACCACAGGACACAGGACAACATCCAGACCACATCCACACCTGCAAGAACCCTGCGCCTTGCGAAGGGGGTAAGATACAAGCCCTGGCCCGGCGGGACCCGAGCGCCCCTCCCCCCGGCTCCCTACGGCTAGAAAGAAACCGGAGCGGTTTTTTTTTTTTTTTTTTTTTTT